GCTCGTCCCTTCCTCCCCGCGCCCGCCGCTGCTCAGGCAGACAGCCCGGCCGCCGCCGCCGGCAGGGGGAAGGGAAGAGCGGTCTTCCCAGCGGGGCCACAAGCTAATTGCTCCTGGCGTGCAGCGCCCGCCAAGTGCTGCCTGCCGCCCCGCGGAGCCCCTGCTAATGGGGTCAGGCTCGAGCAGGGTCCCCCGGCTGCACGTGTGGCCTTGACATGCGGAAGGCTCAGGCTCAAATGAAAGCTGCCTGGGAACCAGCCCTACAGGTGATGCCCATTTCCAAGCAGTAACTTTCGAGCTGGCTGGCTCTTTTTTGTGCAGCTGGAGAGTCCCTATTGTCCAAATGACTTTGCACGTGGGGTGGCTCCACATTTATTTACTGCGATTCACAGGGAAATGGTATGATTGCTACTTCGCACGTGCGGCCAGCCTACACTTATGGTGCAATTCACCAATGAACGGGGCAATCTACTTTGCATGTGTGGCCAGTCTAAATTTATTGCACGATTCACTAATGAATGGTGTGATCATTACTTTGCAGCATGGCCGGTCTAAATTTACTACGGGATTCACTTATGAATGGTGTGATCAGTACTTTGCAGGTGTGACTGGACTAAATTTATGGTGCAATTCACCAGCAAATTGCGTAATATATGTAACTGATGGAAGGGGCCCTGGCCTGTCTGGTTTTGAGCAGTGAATTTGAATTTAAGAGAAATAGGAAAAGCAGGAAAGAGGGGAAAAAACAGTTCATTACTTTTTGTTCCCCCCTCACCAGCCCCTTGTTACCTCCAGGGAATTGCTATTTGGTTTTTATGACCAATCACACTAAGCAATGGAACAGGAGCCCAACTTTCTGCAGAACAACTTTGTCCCTAAAATAGAAATGGCCACCACAGGCAGGTCATAACTGATGAAAAATGACTCATTTCCGGGCAGGTTCCTTAATTCAAAGGAATTAGAAACAAGTGATTTAAAAAATCAATTTAAGAGCATTGCTATAATGAGCAGTACATGTTGCAATCATAACAGTTACGCACTCAACCTTTCAGCCCTGTGGGCCAAATGAGTGGCGCAGAGCCTGCCTGCAGACCGGATTGGACCCTGGGGGCCTGGCACCACCCCTCTTTGCCCTCCATACATTGGAATTGGGTCCGGGAGGGGCCAGTACTGCCCCCTCTTGTCCCAGTGTGCTGGGATTGGGCTCTGGTGCAACTCCCATTGAACCCTGCAGGCTGTGATCAGGCACAGGATTCAGCATGCAGGGCTTGCGGCTCCCAATTGTCTGGAGATTTAGCAGCAGGAGAGTGGTGCCACTGCTCCCCTACTGCCAAATTTCCAATCCCAAGGGCCAGATAACACAGTGCTGCAGGCCAGATCTGGCTGGTGGCTAGAGGTTGAGCACTCCTGACTTACAGAGATCCTACAAATTTACAGTAACTCCCCTCCTATTTCATTTACCCATCTTACATACACTGAACATGACCGTTTTTAAGTTACATTGTGAGAAAAAGAAACCAAATCCAAATTATTTCTTGAAATTTAGGGGGGAGGGGATAATTTACCATTCCACATCAAAAACTTCACACCCGACAGCAAATTAGAACACCAACTCATGTAAAACATCACCTTCAAACTCAAATACTGATATTTTGGCAATAACTAATTTCTTAGTTTAATCTCTTTTTGGAGATTGTTCTCTTTTTCCATGTTGCTCACTACCTACTCTCTAGGCTCTTCATCCACCATCTCTCTTGTTGCAACTCTTTGACATTCCTCTCATAGCAAAATCTTACCATCAGCAGTTTCAGCTTCCCTATCACCACCTGTGTCCTTACCCTGACTTCTCTTTTGCTTTCTCTTTTTCCAGATGGCCACTCACATAACCTAGTCTTGCCTAAATGCTGCCCCTGCTTGACTCTGAACTCACTCTCTTTGACCACCACCAGTGCATCAGCTTCAGAGCAACCAAATTCTCATTTTTCGTCAGTTCATACTTCCAGATCTGAATACTGTACTACATGAACTTAATTAACAAACTCCTAGTTAATAAGCATCCACATCAAATATAAACAAAGCAGGATAGTTTGTAATAATCCACACTCTTGTCAGTAGTCTGGATGTGAAACATGTATTCTATCATCCTGAACCAATACAAGAGTCTCTATCAGTACAAAGGCATACATTTTGTTTAGTGGAACAAAATTTGTAGAGCTACTTTGAATATCGTGTAGGCTTTCTGGATTCTTTCTTCAAGTATTCAGTGAAGACATAGGGAAGAAAGAAACTAAAAATCTGCTTATTCTAAAATAAACCTATTAGTCTGCATTGTCATTATCCAGACTAATGACATAAATTACTGTTTATCATGAAATAATAGATTTCCTGAAGCAAAAGGTTTCCAGGAAGCCATATATTATTTTGTGACACCATCTCCCAGTGAATTCTGAGCAGAGGCCTTGCATTTACTGAAAAACCAGGGACTGAAGTGTTTGTTGAAGGATGCAGATAATCGTGTTTAAATATTTATATATATGCATAGTTCAATATCTTATTTGATTACTGGAATTTCATATTTAGCTTCCTACATTTTCCACATAAGGCACATGGGCATTCCACTTTAGAATCTACTTAGCTGTTCTGGCTTATGTTCGTTACTAATAAAAATCAAAATTTCTGTGCTAAGATAAATTTAATATAAAAGGCAAGCTAGGTTTCTGCTTATCTTATGGAAAGACTGTAGTGTTCCAAACTGTGTCACAACTTTGATGATAAAAATATGATAAAAGTGGAGATCTAACACAATTCAGCACACATCATCATTCAAATGAAATCAATAAGCACTAAAATAAATACAAAGGCATCATTCCACAGTGAACGGACAATTTATGTTTGCAAATTGGAGTATTAAAGGAGAGATTTATCACAACATATAACAGCCAGGGGCAGTATTCAGCTAACAAATAGAGTAGGCAAGGATTATAGTTGATACAGTACATTAACAAAGAGAAATGGCATTAAAATAATTGATTGCCCATTGAACTACAAGTTAGCCTTTTTTCCAATGTTTGCTTTCCATATTTATCCACATTTTGTTCAGTAAATTCCATTGTTGCTCTTATATATACTCTCCATCCTTGGAAGCTTCCAAGAGCAGGTTAGATAGACATATGTTTTTTAGTGAGGGGCTTGAGCAGGGGGCTGGACTACATGACCTCATTAAATCCTTCGTAGCCCAACTTTCCTCCAATCACATAGAAGGCAAGGCAGAATGACACCTTCTACCTGACTTCAGACTAACATGGCTTATTACCTCTCTCTCTCTTTATATATCAGTTAGCTTCTCCCTGGCTAAAGAGACCCTTGGTACCATCCTTATCTTTTAAAGAATATTTTTTTTAAGTCTCAACGTACTTAGAGACTGTCCTCTCAGGAACTGTAATATTTAGAAACTAGTCAGCTAAAAAGATCAAGTTGGCAATGTCCCTTTAAATCACAAATCTTTCAGTAGATCTCCTGCTATTTAAGCCTCACGCCTGGTCATTTCAATGCTATACTTTTACTTGCAATGTAAACTCTTTCATTGTAACACTGAAATGTAATTATTTTGTTTCAAAAGTTCATCAACTTAATAAAATACCCATTAATCAAGAAAATCATGTTACATTAAGAAAACTCAAGATGAAAAAAATAAGTAGTGTCAAACATTCAAACATTTTTGCTAGATCATACTAACTGGAATGTAAGGAATTCATGTGTTGGCATTGAAGAATATCTGAAAAGAATAACAGGAAAGAGCTTAATCCTTCCAGAAAGCTGAGAATCAGAATTGCAGATGGGAGAAATAACTTTTAGAGATCTATCATATTTGACAGTAGACCAAGTATCATAAAGTAGGTATATAGAGTTTTTCCTAAGTTGTTTGTGCTATACCAGAACACTGCAAAAATATAAGGAAGATGTTTCTGAATCATTTAACAGTAAATGAAAGTATTTTATAATACTGGAAATACTTAAGCAATACAAAAAGACTTTATAGATCCCATATTCAATAATAATGAAAGGTTTTCGATTTCTATAACAAAGCTTCCTCCCAAAGACTGAGAATGAACCACATTTTTAGATATTGTCATATCTAAGATAATTTCTATCCCGAATTATCCAAAGACAATAAAGTAAACTCAGTGCTAATTAGTTACATAATCAGTAAATTGGTTGAACCATTTTAGATGCTTCATAAGTCTGAATATAGGGTGACTTTTAATTTCTTTTTGAAGTTCAATGAATGACTTACTAAGACTCACAATGAAAGCCTTAACCAATCAAGGTGTTGGCAATAGCACGTGAAACTAAGAGGCTTTTGTGAAGAAACTGCTGGAACAATGTATATTTGAGAGACTAAATAAATACATAAATTAATAAACAATTTACATGAATATGAAAAACTGCAAGCAGTAGAAGTTCCAAGAAGTAACTTTCATCTTCAGAAATCTACATTTAGGTCCTGCACAGACAATGGATATACATCTGTATAACTTTCAGTGCTTTTCTACAGCAATATAAATTACACTGGGATCTATTATGGATAAATATGCATCTGTTCCAGGGTAACTACATAAAGGGCGCATCTACACATGTCCAATTGTGCAGTTGTTACTGTGCAGTCATTTAGTACTTGTTTAGTACTGGTGGCGCATGGGTCATTCTCAACCTTATTGTGCAGGAGCAACGAGCTACTGCACAGTAGCAATGGTGCCACAGTTTGTGCCTACCAATAGTGACAAAAAATGTTATGTGTAGACGCATCCAATATGGAGAATTATTCTAGCACTTTGCTCATAGGAAGGCAGATAAGTCTTAACCAAATGGTTACTCCAGGTTATGCTGTAGAATGCTGATATTTATACCATCTACACATGCACACATTTACTGTGCAGTAAATTAGTCTACTGCACAGTTAGTTACTACTCAAATACAATTAGTAAACTTACTGTGTAGTAGGGCACATGTAAATGCTGGCAAGGAGCAAATCTGGTTCACAAAGAACATGGAATTCCTCCAGTCTTGGCATTACTCAGCTTCCAGCTCCTCCAAGGAGCTAGGAACTGAGCAGCACCAGGACAAGGAAGCTCTCAGGAGCTGGGAGCTGAGTAGCACTGGGACTAAGGAATTCCATTAGCTCTGGACTGCCCAAGGAGTCCCCCACCCAGCCCAGGGATGGCTGGGAACTGTCCCATTCTGGGGCAGGCCCCAGCTAGCTGTGGGCTGCACAAGGAGTTCCCTGCACAGCCCAGAGCTAGCCGAGAACTGTCCAGTTCTGGGGCAGGTTCCAACTAGCTCTGTGCTTCATTAAGATTTCCACATCAACTCTGCAGCTAGTTGGGAACTGCCCCATTCTGGACTGCATGAGGAGTTCCCTGCCCAGCCTGGAGCTGGCCAGGAACTGTCCCATTCCTGGGCAGGTCCCAGCCAGGTCTGGGTTGCACAAGGAGTTCCCTACCCGGAGCTGGCTTGGAACTTTTGAATTCTGGGGTAGGTCCCAGTCAGCTCCAGGTGGCCTAAGAATTCCCCCAAAATGGTGCAGTTCCTGGCCAGCTCCAGGCTGGGCAGGGAAATCTCCACACAGCCCAGAGCTGGCTGGGACCTGACCTAGAATGGGACAGTTCCTGGCCAGTCCCGGGCTGCACAGGGAAGCCCTGCTGGGCACAGGGCTTGTCCCCCTGTGCACAGGGTGGGAGAGCTCAGCAGCAGCAGCTGTCTCCCAGTCCCGTGCACATCAGGCTCCCTCCATATGTGTACGAGGCGAGAAGACAGCTGCTGCTGCAGCTGGCAGAGCTCTTCTGGCCCTGTGCACGTGGGTACCAGCCCCATGCTCCCTACCAGCCCCCAGCTTAGCACCCAAGGGGAACTTGGACCTCCTGCTGGCTGCTGCAGGAGGTCAGAGCAAGGTGGGAACAAATCTCCTCCCAAAAGGGAACACATGTAGATGTACTCCCAGGTAACTTACTACACAGTATTTTTACTTTGCAGTAAGCCTACTTTGAATTAATAGCACATGTAGAATAGAATAGGTGTCAGTGTTTTAGTGATTTTTTTTTTCTTCCTTTCCTGTTTTTTTTTTTCAAATCTGTCAAATTAAGATCCCTGGACAAAAGTTCATCCAGATAGATGAATTATTTGAGAGTCTAGGACAAGCAGCTTAATAGCTTTCAAGGTAAATGGAATAGGATAGAATAGGCCAAAAACTAGTTAAGTTCCATTTGAGCATAAAAGGAGAAACAGGATTCTGTCCAAACTGTTGAACTTCAATATGTGCTTAAAAGCTTTGGAGTGTCAAGCTAGAACAGAAAAAGGGAAGATCAGGGCTTTCAGGATCTGAGACACATAACTTTCAATTTTGGTGCTGGCGGGGGAGGTGGGGGAAAGGGGGGGAACGATTACCTCTGCACAGGCTGTGGTGATGGCAGATAATAGTCTTGAGCAAAGGTTTACTCCAGGATATGCTGTATAGCAGCAGTGGCACAAGCTCCCTGGGGGCTGCCATTCTGGTGGCCCTTCCGAATCAGCATCCAGGGCTTGTATCTTGGTCAACACTTCCCCCCACCCCAGTAAAGTTACCCTACTGTAACTTGTGAAACTGAAAGCCTGTGTGCTCACCTGTGTCCTCTTTCAGACTTGTGAAGGTTTCTGAAAGACAGCACAAATAAATGATTTCATTGTAATCATAAAGGAATTAATCAATAGTGTCTCAGGAAGCATAAACAAACAAAATATAGAGTCAAATGTATAATGAAAACATACGGAAAAATAAAATAATGTTAGGTAACAAGCACATTTCCAAGTAATAATTTCCATGAGCTATTGATGACCTTAGAATGTTTGAGCAAAGAGGTAGAAATAAGACTGAGTTATGAAAGGTCATCAATAAAAAGCATAAATAAATAATATATTCCCAACATGCCTTTATATAAATCAGCAGGATAGGGAGTACTGGAGAGCTTGAAGTAAAACAATCAAGCTGGGGCACCATGAGGAAAGAAAAAAAACATATTTAACATTTTAGCTTGTTTTGTTTATGAAAATAAATATTGTGCAGCAGATAGCAAACTTTGCTGAAAGAGAGAAAGTATATTCTCCTTGGAGACTGGTTACTTCCCAAAACATTACTTTATTAGAATATTCCATGTCTTATATAAAACCCAGTATGATGTTGTTGAGAAGTTTAAGATTCTAGAGCAGGAGCATCAGACATACGGCCTTCATGGCTGTATCATCTGGTCCATCAGACTTCTAGGGCCTTGCAATTTGGGGGTGAGGCCCAACACTAAAGCCGGGGGTGTGCAGCCCTGCTGGGGCTGGAGTAGTGGAGGAGGAGTTCATGGTGGAGGAACAAACAAGAGCTGCATTAATCCCCTGCAGGTCCCTGATGTTGCTCACCCTGCCATTGGAGGTTGTTCCAGATCCAGCCTCACAATCTGGATCAGTCTTAGGAACCTAGATGAGTTTGACACACCTACTCTAGAGTACAATGTGTACCACCCACTTAAACTTAGTTTTTTCCCCTAAACATTACTAAAAAGTAAGCAAACAGCAAAACTGTTTTTAGTACACTGAAATTTATTATCTTATTGTTTTGTCTTATTCCTTTTTAATGTCCTTATTCCTTATTGATTTTTGTGAAGAAAGTATTGTTGATTTAAATCATGCCAGCTGGCCATAATTTATTAAAAATGTGAATGCATGTGTTAAAGATTTTTGAATGATAGCATCATAGAAAAGTAGGGTTGAAAGGGACCTCAGGAAGTTATCTATTCCAACCTCCTGCTCAAAGCAGGACCATCCCCACCTATATCATCCTAGCCAAGGCTTTGTCTAGCTGGGTCTTTTGGTTTAATTTCCCCAGATAGCAATAATAAAAATCAGGCTGGCCTATAAAGTACACAGGAGGAAGGTCCTGCTTTATCAGAACCTATTACCTCCATCTAAGCAGTATCTTTTTTTGTAGCCTTTAATCAGACTTATGACTGAGAGAAGCTGTTAAACAGTCATACAAATAGGATAGGGGAAAAGTTTGAGAAACTCAACCATTTAACTTTTTATATACTTTTGTTATTATTTCTGTTAAAATGGGTAGTTTATTTCTATCTAAACTTTAACAATCCCAGTAAACACTAATCATTCTGGAGTTTTCCTTTTGAGTGTCTATATTGCCTCCACTTCATTTCAGCTAAATGTTATTGTTAAAACAAGTTGTTTAAACCCACAAATTGTTTATCGACAGCCCGTTGCACTCATATATACATTTTAATGTAGTACATAAACAACGATGTACAGCAAAGTGCTGACATTTTAAGATAAGTATACTTGCTATTTATATACTTTCAAACTGTCAGTCTTAGTCTTTGCTTTGTACACATCCAGAGCCAACATTAGGGTTGGGGAATCATGGCAGGACTCAGGTCATGGGGAATGGCATGAGGCTGTTAGGTAATATCTATGTAGTCATCCAATGTGCAGGTGGGAAAGAGAGGCTCTCACCTTAGCATCTGCTTGGGCTCCACAGGTCTAAAGCTGCCTCTCTATGCATTTTCTTCTGAGCTTTAGTGTTTCACAACATCTGCAATGCTTAATCCAATAATAAGAAAAGACATTAGGTTTATCTTATTTACAAAAATTCATTTGAAATAATATAGCAAGTGTTCCTGTTGTTTTTCACTATTCATCAGGGAATCTAGTTTGAAAAGATTCGCTCCCTCCATCTGACCTAGTGACCAAGAAACCCTTATGCAATTGCTTTTTTTTCCAGTTTAGAATGTTTCTCTCTCAACAAAGGGGAAACAAAACTAGCTGGACTTTCCCTACGAGAATGCAAAGCAGTATCTATTAAGATATAAAACAGCCTTCAAAAGTAGTTTTAAGCATCTTAAACTAGGGCACAATCAATGATTTTAAGGCACCTACCAGTGATTATAGTAAGTTTTACTCATGTGACTTAAGATGGAAAGGTCAGGACCTCTAATTTATGTTCCTGTTATAAAGTGCTAGGTCTTAATTTCCTCTCTTGAACTTCTGAAGTCATAACTTTACTATCATGATTGCAAACCATCTAAAGAAATGTACCTGGCCAATCTAAAACTAGATTATAATTGCAACCGTTGATAAGATAGTGGTACTATGTAATGGGGATGCCATAAATTGCAGTCTTTGAGAATAAATCATGTAAAAAATTCACTATTTTAGTTACCCCAGTTTAGCTACTTTATGTGTTTTCCTGTCTGTTTTCCTTTGGAAACGCAATTTCACCCTATTTTCATGATCTTACTATAAATCAGACTATGTGTTTGATTTTTATTACTCTCTGCATTTTAAGAAATGTACCAGTTCATTTCTAGCTGTGTCAATTGGACTAGTGCTATTAGCTCCTGATGTTATGACGTTCTACATGCATTATTTTTTCAATTTTTGTTTAACTTCTCTATTAAAATAGTGATTTTAGCAATATATATCATAAATATTTGTTTATGTCATACTATTTTAACGTTATCTAAATATAAGGACTCATTATTATCAAAATGAAATGTTTCAATGTTTCTGAATCAATATTGGTGGGGGGGATTTCTGTTCTGCAATAAAGGACAACTTTTTAGAATAAAAATAAATGTTGTGCTGAAATTTTCCATAGAACAGAGATTTTTTTCTCTGATTGGCTGAACTATTGAACTGCAATCACCATCAGGAATTCCTGTCTAAGCAGAGAGGACACATAGCATCACCTTCATCTTTGTGAATGGATGGTAAGACTAGGATAGAGTAATTACGCTATTTTTCTGCTCTTGATTCTGCCTTTTTTGGTGAATGTTTATAATATAGGCAAAATACAAAATCTAATCTATATTATTATTACTTATAGTTTCAATTTTTCAAGTTGAAGAGCATAAAATTAAATCTGCAAACATATATTTAGACACTTAAAAGCAGTCTGATCTTTGTATTTAAAAAATACCTCTGACTGAAAGCAATGAAAGCTTCTAGGAGTCAATGTCTACAAAAAAACAGAATGAATTTATATAGGTGCCTTTCTTTGCATCTGATTCTATTCCTGTAGACCTGGCAGTATGTTCCTCCTCCCCCAGCACACAAAGTTACAAGCCTATCCACAGTCCTCGCCACAGTAACAGTTTACAGTTCAAGATCCTAATAAAAGTCTTCTTAATAGATGAGAGTTATTATTCTTAATAGATGAGAGTCCCATTTAAGTCAATGAAACAACATACCTACACAGTACAGTTGTATAACTATTTTAAGGGTTAAGGCTTAACCCTGAAGAAAGGTAAGTGAGAGGTCAGGAATGAAGAATTCATTCCTGATGTATAACATTATTGTATACTTCGTGTACACCTAACTTCCCCACAGCATACCCAGTTTCTTAACTGATTTCTTGTAGCTATCATAATAAATCTTGCCTTCTGATATTTAGCAAAACTGATTCATGAATACCCTGCTTCCTTTAAAAAATGAATAAGAAAATAATTATAATTTTATTATATCTGCAAGGAGACAAATGAAAGTCCAGATAGTGCAATAGAATTTTTAATGCAATTTACACACTTTAGCGTCATGGCACACTAGTAAGACCTACGGCTGAATTCTGTTAGAGAAGGACGTAGATTCCTTAGATGTTTATCTTTTATGCAGAAACATCTTATCCCATACTGTTATTATAAGGTATATATTCCAAGAGGAAGTATATGATATGTTAGATACTCTTTTACTTATGTAAGTCAGAAGAGAACATATATTAGAAAGGCTAGTAGGGAAGTCGGAAGTGTGACTGTAGACCAGTGGTTCTCAACCTTTTTCTTACTCAAGGCACCCCTCGGAAAATGCCAGCTCTTAGTTTTCACTCATTTTTTGGCTACAGAAAAATAATACAGCAATTTTTCTATTGCAAAGAACACAGGAAGACCACAACAGATCAAATTATTTTTAGGACTATGGGTTATTCTTTGACATTGTTTAGTTTATCTTGTGAATCATGTTTATATACCTAACCATGCTAACATTGCATGGCATTCTGTGGCATTCCTAAAAGGATATCAAGGCACCCCAGTGTGCTGTGACACCCTAGTGGTAGATCACTGCTGTAGACAATGGTGAAGGTAAGTCAGAAAAGTTAGAGCCTCAGTCAAATAACACACGCAGTAGCAGGCAACTGAGCTACGACAAAATGAGTACAGGAAGTCCTCAACTTAAGATGTTTTGAGTTACAACGAACAGCACTTACAATTTTTATAAACTGACACCCTGTTTTGACTTTCTGACATCAGTTTCGACTTTACAACTCTTGATCTGACGCCACATCATGCCAGTGAACAAGTTTACTGCGTTGCCCATCTCCCTAGAAAACATCTGTTCAAACTTCCTTGGATACTTTCTTTAAGAAAGCAGACAAGACTCCAGAAAACCTGCAGCCAAGACTCCTGAGAAGACTCCAGCCAAGAACCCTTCAAAAAGTCTAAGAGCCCTTCAAAGAAGTCCTTCTATATCAATATGATTGCTATTTACAATAAAAATATATTAATGTAACTATATTACTCATCTATAATTGATTGAGTACAAAATTCTGGGTTATTTTTGGTGAAAATAGGGTATTAGGTCTTGGTTAGGGAACCAATCCCCTATTTAAAACATTGTTCCTATGGGAAAATCAGTTCTGAGTTACAATGTTTCGAATTAGGACACGGTCTTCAGGAATCAATTGTCATAAGTCCAAGGACTGCCTGTACATTACTTCTATACAAATGCTAGAAGCCTACAATATAAAATAGATGACCTAGAATACCTGGTATTAAAGGATGATTTGGACATAATAGGCATCTCAAAGATCTGGTAGAAAAGTGATAATGAACGAGATATTGTTATACCCAATTACAAACTACAGAGGAATGGCAGAGTAAGAAGTGTAAGTGGGGGATTGACACTGTATGTTAAGGACAGTAGACAGTAGCAGCATAAAACTCTTATTTTAAAGGGAATCTACCATAGAACTTCTGTGGGTAGAAATTCTGTACTTGATTAAAAGGAACATAGGACTAGGATTATACTGCCAACCACCTGATCAGGAGGGTGAACGTGATTAGAAAAATGTTAAGGGAGATTACTTAGAGAAATTGCAAAAGTGGGACAGATTATAATAATGAGAAACTTCAATCCTCACAGACTGGGCAAATACTTCACCTGGACAAGAAGTAAGAGAGAAAATTTCTGAAGTGGCTGTTATGACGCAGGAAAGAGACCTTGGAGTCGCTGTAGACAGCTCTTTAAAAACAACAGCTCAATGTATAGTGGCATTCAAAAAAGTCAATAAAATGTTGGGTGTCATTAAGAAGAGAACTGAAAGCAAAATGGAAAATGAAAAAAATGCCTTCTCCAGGTACCCTGATTGAAAATCACTGCTCTCGACACACTGTTCATATACTTTGCCTCTACAGCAAGAGTTGGCAGCTTTTTACTAGCATGGGGAACAGCTCATGAGCCACTGCTTCTCTCTGCCACTCCAGGGACAGTGAGCAGAGGCTTGAGGGACAGCAGCCCTTTAGGAAGCCTGAAGCAGCTTGCTAGAACAGCCAAAGGGGATGGATATGCCATTAGCAAAAGGCAGAACAGATTAAACAGCTTAGGATCAATGCACCCCTAGTAATATGCAGACTGGATTGAAACTTTACAAGCTGAAGCTGACCCACAGGCCTTAGGATCTAGCCCATGGGCCCTGCTCTAAAGCATCTATTACTGCCACTGTAGAAGACAGGATACTGGGCTAAATGGTAGGGGCGTACGAAATGGGCTGTATTCAATTCAGATTTGGCCCAAATTGGGGACAGCGATTTGATTCGTTCATTCAGATCACTGTCCCTGGTTCGATTTGGTTGAAACTGAATCTGAAGATTTGTTGCTGATTTGAAGAATCAGTAATTTGGCCATAGACACAGCTTTAAATGTTTTTTCTACATACCTTGAGGTACCAGGTGTGACTCGTGAATTCTGCAATGCTGAGGCGGATGGAGCGTCCCACAGGAGTGTGCCCCCCTCCCCCCCCGCATGCTTAGTGGTGAACCTGTAAGTGGACCAGAAGTACTTCCAGTCCAGTTCCAGGTCCACTGGGCAGCATGCTGGGGGGCCTCCCCCCAGCTCAGTGATTGGCTGCAGCGGGACCCCAGGTGCGCCCTCCCAGACTCAGGAGGCACCAGTTGCCAAGTTGGGGGTGCTGGGGGTGGTGTTTCTGGTCCACTTCCGGGTCAGCTGCTGAACATGCTGGGGAGCCCCCCACGCTCCTGTGGGATGATCCATCTGCCCCACCATCGCAGCATTCATGAGCCGCTTGGTACCTTGAGGTATGTAGAAAAAACATTTAAAGCTGTGTCTATGTCCAAATCACCAAATTTTTCCAAATCTCTCTGAATCAATTTGGAGGGTTCCGAGTCAATTTGGAGAAATTAAAGGGTCTCCTGATTTGGTTCGGAGATTCAGTCACTGAATCGGGCTGAATCTCTGCCAAATCGAATCAGGGACCAAAGCTTTGCACAGCCCTACTAAATGGGCTACTCATCTAACCTAGTACGGCATTATGTTCCTTATGTTCTTAAATTATTAAGAAAAGTTTATGGGACATACTTTTTAACATATATACCAATTACCAACCCATACAGAGTAATAAGAGGAGCTTCGTCTATGCTAATGATCAATATATCACCTCACAAGAAGACTTTGCCACTGTCAAGAACAGACTGACATGCATACAGAACAACCACTCAGATTACTACAATAAGAACCAGCTTTGTGCCAACTCAACCAAGACACAGGTTACGCTTTTTACCTATACCATAGAGAAGCCAAACAGAAATTAAAACATCCCCTTGGATGGAATCCCAACAACTAATCACCCAAACGCTGTGTATTTTAGAGTTACACTGGACCAAACACTTACCTTCAAAGCACATGTAGAGAAGATGAAAGGGTAAGTCAGCACCTGTAACACCATTCTTTGAAAGTTGGTCACTTCACAGTGGGTGCGTCTACACATCTCCATACGGTGATGTTGCTATGGCGCCATGCTATACTACTTCCTTTTGGAAGTACTAAAGCACGGCACAGAATGGGTGGTTACTACACCATGCATGTGGCGCAGCTAAACTTCATCACTACTTCCCCATAGCAGTGCACTATACCAGGGGGCACGCCGCTACAGCGGCATAGTTGGTGATCATGTGTAGACCCACATGATTGCTGTGTCGCCATAGTGCACCATATGGTGACATAGCTCATTGTTATGTAGCTGTAGGGCGATGTGTAGATGCGCCCAGTGAGGAGGAAGCCCAGCTACATTAGGAACCACTGCTATTGCCTTGTGTTACTCCACTGCAGAGTATACATTTCCAGTATGGGAACAATCAGTTCATGCCAGAAAACATACCCAGTTCTAAATGACATATCATGAAATAACAGGACATCAAAAGCAACACCAAAGCCTGTACTTACTGGCTGGCATTGGACCACCTGATATCAGAAGAAAGGTAGAGAGCCAAAAAGAAAGATCACAGCAGATAGAAGACCCCAGGCATCCACTCTATGGTCACACATAACTAAACAGCTTAAAACATAAAAGAGTTTTGTGATCAGTGTTGAGCCACTGGACACAACAGCAGACAGGTCACGGCTGAGGTTATTAAAGGAAAGATTACATGCCATCAGGTGCTCTGAAATGGACCTGTAACCCCAGGAGGACCTTACAAGAGGAGCAGATCTAGACTGGCCAATGTAGCAATGCCTGACCTGCCTCCACACATAAACTGGAAGATCAAAAACAAACATGATCAAATGGGGTTACTATGATACAAATATATGTGAGTGTGGTGAAGTACAGACCATGGAGCACATGCTCATTTGCTGACTCCTTGGTGAGAACTGTATGAAGGAGGACCTTACTGCAGCAATGGAAAGAGCCATCACTTGTGCATGACTGTGGAAAAAACATCTAGTTTATGACAAGGACACAAGAAGACAATGATGACAACAACGACTAGCGGAGCTCTGATGATTTACACCAAAGTCAGTGGAACTATAACAGTTTATATCATTTCATGATTCCCCCTAGTGTATGCTAAGGTAAGGCAGGTTTACTTAATTTATATTTTATTCTGGATCCTTTACACATTAGCAGTTTAAATTCCCTTTCCCATTGTTGGAATGAACATACGTAGTCTTAACTTTTGAAGGCAGTTCAAAGCCTCAAATCATTATCAACATTTAAAACTAAATTAAAAAAAATACTTGCCCAAGGGACTGAACATGGAACAAATCAATATATTTTAAAGCTTTTTATAATGTCAGTGTATTTATATGTTTGTGGAAGAATCCCATTATGCTCCATCTATTACGCAGTTTAATTTAAAAGATGCAACAACATTCTAACTGTTGGATAATACAAGCAAATATTGCTAAGTGCAAGTGCACTGCAATAATTCTGTGCGCTAAAGATAGACTAGTAACAAAAAAATCTACCCAGAGTATATCATTTGGCCTTTTCTTTTTCCTTTGTAGAAAGCCTCATTTTTAAGTAGCAGGTGTCATTCATAATCTAGACCAAAGAACAGTAAAGGTCTGATTTTTCAAGTACTTTTTCATTCCAATTTCTTCAATATAAATGTAAAATAAACTATTTTTTAAATAAAATTGTTGTTTTGCCTATTTAATAGCTAGTCGTTATTTGAGAAGCTTTAGCTTACATTCCTACCAATGTAAATCAACGTGGTTCCAATTATATCAATGGAAATGCATTATTTTACACCAGAAGCGGTTCTGGCCTATTGTAGTTAAAAGTAGCGAAC